CGCTGAAGTAGGATAGCTCTCCCTGTTGCTAACATCGTTCGGGGCTGGTACAAACGGAAATGAGAGAATGGCGTGACAAGCCATCGTAGAGTCTCTCGCCCCCTAATTTACGGGGAGATTACTGTCGCGGTGAGACACAATAGCCCACCCCTTTACACAGAGTCGCCGGACTGTTGCAGACGGCGGTACGACATGCTGTAATTTCTTCCCCCACCCCCACCCCCCGACACACAAACAAGGAAATGAAATGTGCCACGTGATAGGGCCACTAAACTTGCGTGGAGCGGGTGTCCCTAAAATTAATGGAAATTAAAAAAAAACAACAAAAAAACACAAACAACTAAGGTCCTGCAATTTGTTTAATTACTGCCTCTCTAACACTCCAGTCTGCGGCGGCGGATGGCAGAAGAGTTTAGAAGCCCTCATTAAACCCGTACCCAACCCAAAACTATCTCACTAGACATGTACCCCACCCCTATCTCACTAGACATGTAGCCCACCTCTATCTCACTAGACATGTACCCCACCCTTATCTCACTAGACATGTACCCCACCTCTATCTCACTAGACATGTACCCCACCCCTATCTCACTAGACATGTAACCCACCCCTATCTCACTAGACATGTACCCCACCCCTATCTCACTAGACATGTACCCCACCCCTATCTCACTAGACATGTACCCCACCTCTATCTCACTAGACATGTACCCCACCTCTATCTCACTAGACATGTACCCCACCCCTATCTCACTAGACATGTACCCCACCCCTATCTCACTAGACATGTACCCCACCTCTATCTCACTAGACATGTACCCCACCCCTATCTCACTAGACATGTCCCCACCTCCGCTCTTCCATCCACCACGCCCATCTCACTTAAGCCTCAACACCAGCCCTCATGCCCTACCGTCATTTTGCCAAAACCAAGACCCTCACGTTCGTTGTCTTGCTGGGTTCCTTTTTTTCCAGGTTTTCCCATACTTTTTTTTCACTCATTTCTTTTTTATATTTCTCTTTCTCTCTCAATTTCTCTCTCTCTCTCTCTTTCTCTCTCCATTTCTCTCTCAATTTCTCTCTCTCTCTCTCTCTCTCTCTCTCTCTGTCTCTCTCCCTCTCTCTCACACCTTCTGTCCCTCTGTTACGCCTTGTCTCTGTTTCCCCTTTCCCCTCTTTATTAATATCTCTTTCCCTCCCTCTCTCTCTCTCTCTCTGCCCCGTTCTCTGTCTCTGTCCATCCCTCTCGCTCTCTTTCTGCGCTCCTTTGTGGTTTTGAGAACATAAAAAAAAAAGTTGCAATACATCAGTTCCGAAGTTTGACACAAGAAAATAAACATCCGATGATATAACTTCAACAACAACAACAACAGCAACAACAACAACAAAATGAGCATAAGTTAGAACAAGACTCGATACGGATGAGTCAGAAATGTCTGGTCGGTAGAGCAGACTCTAATCAGTCTTATTCCCAAGGATTTTTTTTTGGCCCTGTGGTCCAGCAATAACCTTATATGACACACAGCCTTGAGCTATGGGGCTAGAATTAGGTTTGGAAGTGTGGCAGCTCACATACATATTGGGGGGGGGGGTTAACCCTGTAGAATTTGAGGGATCCAGAGAAAATTTAAATGTACCAGTAAAAAATTAACAGGAGAATAATTATTCATAAATAAATTATAAATAGACATAATTGTTTTTTTAAAGTCTCACTTATTTGAGTTTCCGTTAGAGGCAATACTTATTAAGATGGCCGCTTAGCGATTGGTTGATTTAAGAAAGACGCTTTTTATAAGGCGGGGCCAAGATTGGCCGTGCCGATACCTTGCTGGACCATCTCAATTGTTTCGTAGTTTGAGAGCTGTGCGTCGAATCAAGACGTCAGGTTGACTTAAAACATTACAATCCCGGTGTTATCAGCGGTTCTTAAGCGGTACACAGCGACTTAAAGGGGTGGTTCGCAAATTACGTTACGCTCAGGGGGGAGGGGTCGAAAAATTGTGACAAGGGGGAGGGGGGTCCAAAATGTGTGACGTCACGATTTAAAAACAATTTTTTTTTCATCTTTATTCAATTAATTTTAAAAACATAAATCTGAGTTCGAAATTGCCTCAGGTATTATAGGTACCGTGAACCTCAGTCGCGCACACCTTATGCGCATAACAAAACATGACGCAAAAACTGTTGTGGCCATTTTACATTGGGCTTGTGGATGACTTCGTTGTTTAACGTCACATTTTTCTAATAATACTGTATCTTATCCATTATAGGACAATGTTCAAGAATAAAATCAAATCTCAGTTCAGTTATGCACATTTTATGTCTGTTTTGATTTTTTTAGGTGTGACGGGGGGGGGGGGGTAAAGAATTTGTGACACTTTGTGACAGGGGGGGGGGGGGGTCTAAAAAGGTCTTTTTTATATAGGACAATGTTCAAGAATAAAATCAAATCTCAGTTCAGTTATGCACATTTTATGTCTGTTTTGATTTTTTTAGGTGTGACGGGGGGGGGTGGGGTAAAGAATTTGTGACACTTTGTGACAGGGGGGGAGAGGGGTCTAAAAAGGTCGTTTTTATCGTGACGTAATTTGCGAACGAATCCTTACAATAAGAAACACGTACATCCGATCCAAATTTCAAAATATACATGTCATTGGTGCAGTTCCTTGAGTAGTACGACACTTCAAATATTTGAGAAACCCTGTGATCGAAAATTACGGCAAAAATGAATTTCAATGCATGAAAAAATATAACAAATGACCTCCGAACGATATCATTTCATATGACTTCAAGACAGTCCTGAATTTAAAATCATTCCTTCTCAATTAATCTCCTTATTTTATTTTTACTTTAATGTATTCAAAAAAATAGATAAAGCGAAATTACTCTTAGACAAGTCGCTCTTGTTGGACAGAAAATAGCAAAATGGGTGGGTTCGTATCATATCAGCTGCGTCCTCAACTTGATAAGAGAACAGCCGTTGCCGTAGCTGTCACTCTAATCCAGGCAACATTAGATTACTGTAGCAGTTGTTTGTGGGGTTTACCTCAAAACCAAATTCAGAGACTCCAGAAGTTACAAAATACTGCAGCACGCATTGTATCGCGGATAAAAGAACTCTGACCACATCATCACAGTTCTTAAAGATCTCCACGGGCTTCCTGTGGGGGGAAAATTATCTTTTTTTCCACTTACTATTTTTTTTTTTAAAATGTGCTAAATTGTTAAATGTAAAATTAAAAGTAAAAATAAAGTTAAACGCTATGTTAACCCAAAGGGCGGCAGCGGAAGTCGATGCGAGAAGTTTGAGGTGTTGGCTGCCACCCACTTTTGGTTTAAAATTAAATTTAAAAAATTAAAATGTCTTCCTGTCCCTGGCGCACAGCTGTATGGAAGGCTTTGCACCTGAATATCTCCAAGAACTGATTTCTAAACATGCATCCTTTAAGAACCTGCGCTCCTCAACACGGTCCCTGCTGAGAGTTCTGAGTGTGAACGGACACAAAAAGTAGTCCTTCAGAGTGCGCTCTTTTGAAGCTAAAGCGCCCAAATTAGGGAACAGTTTGCCTCAATTTTTGAGGGAATTTTTTTAAAAAAGATGAAAAAAACATTTAAGAGACATTTAAAGACTTTTTTCTTTAAATGGAGTTTATAACACCAGAGCGCTGTTAGCACGCTAAAATAGCATGGATATAAGCCCTATAAAAGTAATCAATAATCCTCATAAATCATTATATCAGCCTTTGTATCATTTGTGGTTGTTATGGCTGCGCTAAGTAAACATAGATTGGGCCTGGATGACGATATCATAAATTAAAATGAAAGAAGTCATTCATATGATTAAAAGAATACATTTTTTCAAAATAAATACATATCACTTGGTCTGTTTTAATTTAACATGATAGAAACAACAAACATGATAGAAACAACAAACATGATAGAAACAACAAACATGATAGAAAAAACAAACATCCTAAAAACAACATACATGATAGAAACAACAAACATGATAGAAAAAACAAACCTTGATAGAAACAACAAACATGATAGAAACTACAAACATGATAGAAACTACAAACATGATAGAAACAACAAACATGTTAAAAACAACAAACATGATAGAAACAACAAACATGATAGAAACAACAAATATAATAGAAATAACAAACATGATAGAAACAACAAACATGATAGAAACAACAAACATGTTAAAAACAACAAACATGATAGAAACAACAAACATGATGTTGCAACCATTTAAATATTAAAAACAAACTTCGGATGCGTACACAGGCAAGGTAAATTTTTTTTGGTTGCCTAAATCTCTTACCATTTAAATGTGAACTTTTACAAATGTGAAGTTTTATAAATGTGAAGTGTGAAAGTCTCAAGGGTGTTATCACAAAACGTCATTAGAAGACATTAAAAAAATAAATAATTGAATGATTGAAGAAGAGGTACGTGCGTGCTTTAAAAATTAATTAGCCATATCTCTAATGTTTTTAAATTATTTTAAACGATTATTTATAGCACATCACGTCACATAAACCACTTCCCGTCAATCTATTGAGTACACAACAGTTTTATCCGTGACATATGTTTCAAGCTTTTACTGTTGAATGCGCTTAACTTTCACGTACAACCCTTGAACATCAAACTTTGTACACAGGAAGAAATTATTCAACCTGAATGTTGTCAAATTTAATTTGTTTTAAAATTTATTCTCTCAGTACTTTAGATGCTATATATACCAGGAGCAGAGGGTAACCAAGATCCACCACTCAAATAATCTTTTTTTTTAAACGATGGAATTTGTTTTTGTTATCTCCCCTGAATATACGGCCACATTATCCAGAGACCAGGAACTTTCCAGAGACCCTCTGGTCAAGCAGCTGACATTAATCACGGTCACGGGCAGTGACGGTAACAATGTAGGACGAGAAGACCGGGGTGATGAGAGGATACAGAACGATGTCTGGGGGTTGAAGTTGGGGACATAAGCTAAGATGCAAAAAATTCCTACTCTCGGATTTGAATTATCTGCCAATCTATATATTAAAGGAAGATAATAAAAATTGATAAATACAAGAAAGAAAGGGACACAACTTAAAATAATACAATAATAGACAATCACAAGTCTCTTAATAATTGTATATTAGAGAAAAAATATCGTAATCTTTTTCAAGGAATATCTCGATGAATTTGAAGCCAAAAAAAAAGTTTTACTTAAAATGTTAAATGTCCTGATGGTGTTGCTGAACCTGTACCTGATTATCACCCCTTTGGCCATAAAGCCCAGACTTAAGTACGTCAACCTGGCCACTGGTCTATTTGGTGGAAGCCTATGTGACCTTTATTTACAGGAGATGGTCACTTCCGGGTTATGGTGAGTTATTTGACACTTTTCTAATAAGATGTATCTTTTGCTTTTCATTCTTAGTAAAATATTCTCTGAAGAGATCATCCTATCCATATTTTTTTTATTTAAAAATTTTTTTTTTGTTGCTTTTATGATTAACATTTTTTTTAAAGAAAAAAATGGAACGATTTTTAACATATGTAACTAAAGGAAACATGGAACGAAAACACTGCCTTGTGATGTAGTTGGTATTAGTGCCACCATGGGACGGGCCAATATGTTTTCCGCTCTCCCTTTCATGATACAAACTCGGCAGTTGTCCGAAAGTGCAACGCCTCCATATGAAGTAACATGGAGCCTGGGGGGGGGGACAAACCCCTCCGTCCCACTTTCCACGCCACTGGCAGAGGCGTAGCTAGAGTATTTATTGCCAGGAGACAAGATTCATTTTTACACCCCCACCCACCCCTTTTTTTCTTCATCTCTGAAACCCATTATCTTCATCAATTAAATACTATTAAAGTCCACGTGATGCCTCCCTCTCCCCCCCCCTGCTAGTCGGGCGTCCGGGGACACTTTTCCTGTCTTCCCCCCCTCTAGCTACTCCTCTGGCCACTGCCACCCCCCATGAAAAAAAATCAGACGGTTGCAGGTTCAATGCCCGCCATGGCCAGCCAATTTTAACATTTTTTTTTGGAAACATGACCGCAACCATTACACAACTGCAATTCATTATTTACCAGATCCCATGTTTGTCACCTCCAGCCTGATACGTCATTTGGAAAACGTCAAATCTGTAGATAGCAGTTATAACATTGGAAAACAAAAATTCATTGCATCACCAATTAGAACGTGACTTTTCTGTATGGATACGAGTTATTATAATAATTATCATAATTAGTATTTTTTATTATTAGACTAACGTGTTCTATGTACCAAACCAATGCCAAACCTCCATTGTTATGTTTGAGCATGCACACAACATCATCAATTTGGCCGGAACGTTGATTTTTATTTTTTTATTTTTTTTTTTTGGTTTTATTTACACACGTGACATTTTAAGACGTCTGGGTCAACCGAGGCGGGGTGACACCGTCACTTAAATTATTCGTGGTTGTGCGAACGGGGTTGGGGGGGGGGGGGTTAAGATCGGATTAACTTTTTGTTTTGTTGATATGCCTTGGTAAAGAGTTAAGTCCCTTTAACCGGTAATTTGGTAGCATTCGATTTTTAAAACCGTAAATAATTCTACTTTTGTCGATACTTCAAAGATTACAATTTTAATACGATAAAGCCCAGGCCTGCACAACATACGCTCCCCCCTCCCCCCCTCCCCTGGGGCCACATGCGGCCCCCCACTTGACCGCCGCGAAGCAACGAAATATTCTTTATTATTATTTTTATTTTCTTAACAACCTTCGCTCCTGTACTATTACCTTTCGGCACGCACAAGGTTTTCATTAAAAAAATTAACGGCCCACCTTAAATTTTTGAGTTGTGCAGGCCTGCTATAAAGTAGGGGAAAAAATGCTTTTAAGAAATTTTAAATTATTTTCTACTTTTTTTCTGCGTTTAAACTCGTCTTTTAGAGAAATTCTTTTTTTTTTTTTTTTTTTTTTTTTTTTTTTTTTTTTTAAAAATTTTTTTTTTTTATTTTTCCGTTTTTTCATGTTTTTTTTGTTTTTTTTTTTTTTTTTTTTTTTTTTTTTTTTTGTTTTTTTTTAAAATTTTTTTTTTTTTTTTTTTTTTTTTTTTTAGTTCTTTTAAAAAATTTTTTTTTTAAATTTCCCGTCTGCTCAAGTTCTTGTTGTAGTTGTTTTTAAATGCGTCGTGCGTGTGTGTGTAATGTCATGACCCGTGAGCCGAGTTGCTGTCTTGTGTCTACATGCGAGGTGTGTGTCTGGTGTGTGACAGTCAGAACCGGTACGTCTCCCAGCAATCGGAAGTGTGATGCAGTCGTAATCGCGTGCGCACATGGAAAGTTTTGTGACACAAGACCACGTTCGTTTGACACACTGAGCGCGCATTGTATTTATTGATTAACATGGGGGTCTGTACTTAGGACTTCAACATTTATTGATTAACATGGGGTCTGTACTTAGGACTTCAACATTTATTGATTAACATGGGGTCTGTACTTAGGACTTCAACACAAAATAAAATACCCTGGAACCCCGCTATAACGCGGAACCCCGCTACAACGCGATAATCGGCGTTCAAAAATAGGTTCGATTTTTTTTTTTTTTATTTTTTTTTTTAAGGCTTGTTTCAAGGAGCATTTATAAAGTGGGCGGAGGAGGGTGTATTTAATAAACAAACAAGCAACAGTTTTTTTTTTTTTTTTTTTTTGAAAACATTAATGCCCTTAAATCCAATCAGGAGCTTATGCGGAGCTTAAAAGAAGCCAACACATAATCAAATTTTTACCGTTGCCCAAATATATGGATTAAAAAAAACAAAAAACTTCAACATACTGAAATCGCCTGTGTCTTTAAACGTGTTCTATTTACCTTTTGAGAATTTGAGAATTAAAATTATTTTTTTTTAATCATCACCGGTGAAACGTCCAGGTCCAGGTCGCGAAACGGCGACGTTGAAATGGTGGGAGCGGATGATGGGGGGGGGGCGAAGTGGTGGGGGAGAATGTCATAGTTCCACGGTACCAGAACGGCGACCAGGCGTCGCGGGGTAAGTACCACCTGGCGGGCCGGATCTGGCCCGAGGGCCTTAGTCTTGAGGACCCGTGTATCAGGCTTGACGCTAAATTTGCTGGCCTAGAAACTGAGATCAGGTCGGTGGCATAAGGATGCCCGTGTAGGATGACAACCAATGGCAGCAATGATTAAGTGTGACGCAGTTTGACCACAGAGGGTACCTCTCTCCTCTTCCGTTACTCTAAACAAATATTTCTATCAGTTGGATTTTTAAACTGCCTACGTCCATCCATTTGGATTTTTTTTTTAGCAGACAGAAAGCAAGTATCCATTTATTTTATGCTTGAGTTTTATGAACGCAATTTTCCATTTTTAAAAAAAAAATACTTGGGTATTATGAACGCAAGTTTCCATTTACTTTCAGAGTTAATGAAGTTCGGTGCAATAAACTTTCTCTAAGATTTGTAGCTTTGAGGATAACGTTTTTCCTCGAAAATCTGTAGCTAAATATAAAAAGGCATTTGATGCGCATTACAGGAAATAACTTTATTCTCAGTTTTCTGTCTGTGGCCTGAAGTTGTTGTTTTTTTTCCAACCAGGTTTGGTTCGCTGTTCATGCATTGGATTATTCTTGGACTGTTTGAGATTTTTTTAAAAACGAGTTTGCTGTTGTGAACTTGGTTAAAAGTTATTCAGTTCTTCAGGAAGTGACTAAATATTTGTATAGCTTTCTAGAGCTTCTACTTATCAATGGTGTATTCTTGAGCCAAGCTCCCAAAACTGTATTAAAGGTATTTTCACATATTTTCCAAAAGTTATTTAGATTAATTGATCAGTCTCTAACTTTGTTTCAATTTTTTTTTTAAATCTTCTTTCAGATGAAGGGACATGACTCCAATGTTCAAATTGACACAGACAAAGTTCAGATGAAAAGGGAGATGGGTTTGGTTAGTGCTACGAGTGTTGTGATTGGTTCAGTTATAGGTGAGTGATTGGTTCAGTTATAGGTGAGTGATTGGTTAAATTATAAGTGAGTGATTGGTTAAATTATAACTGAGTGATTGGTTTAATTTTAGGTGAGTGATTGGTTCAATTATAGGTGAAGGATTGGTTCAATTATAGGTGAGTGATTGGTTAAATTACAGGTGAGTGATCGGTTCAGTTATAGGCGAGTGATTGGTTAAATTATAAGTGAGTGATTGGTTAAATTATAACTGAGTGATTGGTTTAATTTTAGGTGAGTGATTGGTTCAATTATAGGTGAAGGATTGGTTCAATTATAGGTGAGTGATTGGTTCAATTATAGGTGAGTGATTGGTTAAATTATAGTGAGTGATTGGTTCAATTATAGGTGAGTGATTGTTTCAATTATACATTAAAGTAGTGTTGGAACTCACCCAAAAGCTACCCTTGCTGCAACCGAAATAAATTTGTATTTATTTCTAAGAAAGAGAGAGAGAGAGAGAATAGGCTCACCATTCCTATGAGTTCCTGCAGGACTGGAGCCCTGATTGTTAAAGCCGATTACCGGTTTCAAATCGGATTTCTAAAAGCCGATGACCGTTTTGCTGGTTATACAACGATAGTAACATGGTTCTTTTCAAACTACTTGAGCTCTAACGGCATTGGGTACAATCTGTGAAATTCACCCTTTGTAAATATATACATAATCCTAAAAGTAATCTGATCATCCATAATTTTTTATATATGCAAAAAAATACTTAATCTTCATTATGGTATCAATATATGCACATGTATATATAACTTTTTTTTTACCAACATCCAGCCCTTTGGTTTTTTTTTCCTTTTGTGTGCCTTTTCAGGGGCTGGTATATTTATTACACCAAAGGGCGTGCTACAGAACACTGGGTCCATTGGTTTGTGTCTGCTTGTCTGGCTGTTGGCAGGAGTTTCTGCCCTTGGAAGTAAGTCCCTTTTTAAAACATTTTGATTACCTGTTTTTGTTCAAACTTTGTTTCTTACAATGTCGGCTGGTTATTTGTGGAAATATGATGTAAATTTGTGGATGGAGATAATGTGGATTGAGAGTGCTGGAGACATCATATCTTGTCCTTTTTTTTTTTACCTTTGGTTTACCTTTGTTTTCTTTACAATCTAACATGGCCATTTTTATTCCTACGTCTCAATACTACGTCACTGACCAACGACTCAGGCGCCCTCTGCTACTCCGAGCTCGGCACAACGATCCAAAAGTCCGGAGGGGGGTACACCTACATCAAGAAGGGGCTAGGGAACCACATGGCCTTTGTTTATGCATTACAGGTCAGAGGTCGCATAATGCGTTCCCCGTTGTTACAACAAGACTTGTGTCTAAAGTTAAGTCACATATTTGTTGAGATCTAAAGTAATCAAAAGCCTTTGCCCCTCTCCCAATTCATGCCTGATTAGAGGCTTTTAGAGGATATGAATTATTTCTAAAAATCACGTCGCTTGTTTCAGTTCTCAGAAAAGTTTATGTTTAATGGAAACACGAAAAAGGGCAAATGAAAAGGAACCACTATTTAATTAGGCAACAGATATTTACTGTAGGACTCTGTAACTCTTAAAACTATTAACATAATTCATTTCTCGATGCCCGAAAAAGGCAGTCGTGCGTGGTCCGGGATCTCTGGTGGTCATGCTGCTGACATTCGCCAAGTACATGGTGGTCATCTTCCCCACATGTGGCAGGCCTCTGTTGCTGGAGAAGCTGATTGCAGTGACAGCCTTATGTACGTCCGCTGTCTACAGGAGAAGAACGTATTGTGCTCTTAAACTAAAGCCGCGTCACAAGCTTTAGTGTATGGATGTGTGTTTTGGAATGATGCGCTCGCAGGAAGTGTTAAAATAAAGTTTTTAAAATAAAATGTTAGAAAGAATTGTTAGAAAAAACTGTTAGAATGAAGTGTTGGGATGGAATATTGTAGTAAAGCTTAATCATAATCTTATATTCGTTTATTGCCTCTTTAAATTGTCCGCTAGTTGAATTGTTTTGTAAAGAAAAAAAAATCGGCTATCGTGACCTGTTCCCCCCAGTCAGCCTCGTTATCATCAACACGTACAGTTCACGCCTGGCGTCACGAGTTACCGTGATCACAACCATAGGAAAGACGTCTGCACTTGTCGTCATCATCATCGGCGGCATCGTCTCTCTTTGTCAAGGTGGGACAGCGCGATCACATTATAATCATCAATATTACTCATTTCTTGTAAAGTTTCATGGCTGACCAAATCTTTTTAAAGATACCATCGGGTTTTCTTATCCTTAACGCTTTGAATATCTGAGTGCACAATTACAGCAATCATACGGACGTCATAACTATTTTAGTGATCCATTTGGGAACAGGAAGATTCATGCATGAACAATAATTATTTTTGTTTTCTTTCTGAAGACGGAAGTTCCTCGATACTTCCGGGCCTCAACGGGATGATAGTTCCGTGGCTTAGGCCGTGGTTACATTACTCCCGTATTTCACCGACATCCAAGACTGACATTCAAGACTGATCGTTTAGTAGTGAAATTTGTCTGACATTGTGGTAACATTGCAACCGATCGCATCAGAATCGTTATTTTACAAAACAAAAACAAAAAAACAAAAAAAAGGCCTTCACATTTTGTGAAAAATTTACTTTGTAGTAGTAATTTTTTCTCCTACAAATTACAATTTTTTTTTTTTTTACGGCAGTCTTGCATGTCGGTGAAATACGGAATCAGTGTATCCACAGCCTAATGTCGGTGCTCCTTTTGCACCAATCTAATTGCTGTTAACTTCTTCTCTAAGTTTTTAAACTATTTTATTGGGTAATGACTAATGGACAGGTTAACATCTAGATAAGGAAATCGTTAATGATAAAAAGCAACAACATGTCATTACCATTACAGGCGTGACTAGCGAACTTGGGACCGGATTCTCTGGGTCAAGTGACGACCCCACATCTATAGCCTTGGCCTTGTACAGCGCCATCTTTGCCACCGGAGGAGGGTGAATAGTGAACGGAGTATTTTTAAAAATAAATTTTTAATATCTATCTTCAAAAAGGGCTTAAGATCCCTCCCTTTTAATTCGTGGCTTTTTTTAACACATATTTCCTGCACACAGCCCACGAAGAAATAAAGCATCAATGGACTACATTAGTTCAATGGCAACAAAACAACTCGTCACAAACACAATGAATGCCTGACACAACAAAATGTCACATCACACGATGAATGCCTGACACAACATGTCACAAATATGATGAATGCCTGACACAACATGTCACAAATATGATGAATGCCTGACACAACATGTCACAAATATGATGAATGCCTGACACAACATGTCACAAATATGATGAATGCTTGACACAACATGTCACAAATATGATGAATGCCTGACACAACATGTCACAAATATAATGAATGCCTGACACAACATATCACAAATATGATGAATGCCTGACACAACATGTCACAAATATGATGAATGCTTGACACAACATGTCACAAATATGATGAATGCCTGACACAACATGTCACAAATATGATGAATGTCTGAAACAAAATTCGTCTAAAAAAAATACTTCATCATTTCTCTCATAGACTTTAATCTATAATTTCTCTTACAGGGCCAATCTGAATTCAATCGTAGAGGAGATCAGGAACCCTGGCAAGTATGTACCAGCAAGTAAAACATTTACCTGGCCAACTAGGAGACTTGACAAACTATTGAAATCACGTTTCAAAAATTGATCAGAATCACTTTTTAAGTAGAAAATGTGTAATTTCCAAGAAAATAAAAGTCAATTTATAAATTATATCAATGTCAGTCTTACCTTCAAGGTGCGTAACGGAAACAAAATGAATATTGATGTATTTAAGTTGCGTCACTTGATTAAAAATGTTATACAATTAAATATAATTTTGATGAAGCACGAACACGTCAGAATCTTTCAATCGAATAACCACAAAACTTTGATTGACAAAATCTGCAGTGTTACGATTAGCATACGAGAAAAACAACAGACACTATGTAAATCAGTGGTTCTCAAAATCTAATAATCCGGTGGCTGCAGGAGGTAGAGTCCGAGTGAGACTGGGCCGCATCAAGTATTCCACAAAAATGCGAAAACAAATTCAATAAAGTACTTAAGGCTTCACTTTCTTCCTCATACTCCTTGTTGCCAGAGATCTGGCAGCACTTATTCTTACTCAGATTATCAACATTTGGCTTGAGTGAGGAAGCGGTTAAGAAGACCCTCAGTATAAATTGAAGATGGTTATCAGTGCGGCACATGATCCGCTTGAACCTCCTAGAAATCTCAGGGAAGGTGTAGGGAAATGCCTTCTTGAACCACCTGGAAATCTCAGGGAAGGTGTAGGGACATGCTCTCTTGAACCACCTGGAAATCTCAGGGAAGGTGTAAGGAAATGCCCTCTTGAATTGTACATACGGGTTTGTTTTTCCCTTCACCTTACTGACCTTGGCCTTGGGTTCAGAATTGCTCTGAGGATCAGCTCCATTTCAAGAGCCTTCCACTTTAAAGGAGAAAGTGTCAGCAAAATTGGGAAAAGTGGCTCTGTGTGTCTTGAAATCTGCAAACACCTGATCCTATTCTTCCTGTAGCTTTGCAATGGCAGCAGTATACTTACTTCTGAATGGCGTGCGTGTGCCCGAGTCCATGAGTGCTCTGCATGTTGGGAAATGGTTCTCTCAGGACCATAACACAAGTTTGTGCAGAATGCCCTGACATTGTCACAGGCAACACCGACAAGCTACCCTGGTCTTGTAATTTCTTGTTGAGTATAATACAGTCAGCCCCTGAGTGTCAACAAGATAATCCAAGTCCATGAGCCATTTGGGATCACATAGTACAGGAAAAACCACCTCATCCTTCTCCATGAAAACTTTAAAGACCTGTTCAAACAGTAGGCAGGAACAGGCAATATAAATATAAATTATTGATGTGAAGGAAGATGCTGTTGTAGGGAGAAAGTAATTTTGATTTTTGTATCGTAGAAAAATCCTTTTGACTAACCGTATTTGGAAAGTGATCAAACTAACAGGCTCAGAATTTCCCTCACTTGTAAAAACTAGCGCCAATTTTTATAGAGATTCTTGAGACTGTGTCAGATTGCTACGATTTACACAATTATGGTTGTGCATTACACACTAACTGAATTTTGAAACTTTTCTCAAAGCCGCACTTTGGCCATGATTGTCTCATAAAATACTGTCCAAAAAAATTAGTCCGATTTTAAAAGGGTTATTAACATTATAATCAACGTCCAAATCTATAAAAACATAACACAAATCAAAAGTAGACTAGTCGGTGAGATTCGACTGAGCCCGTCGCGGAGAGTCACATGATAGGTATGAGAATGGGGAAAACGCGGTGGCCGCATTGACACTAAACTTTGCTGTCAGGTATCGGACCGCAAAATATCGTTTTGCGGTCAACAAATGGCCCGCGTGCCGCGAGTTTGAGATCCCTGAATGTAAATTTAAGTGTCATAAAGTCACAATTGAGATTATTTTGAAGAGCTAAATTCAATGCAGCAGTGAAAGCGCTAAGATAATACTAAGAAAAACTAACTAATGCTTAATGTTAACTTGTAAACATTTATCCCAAGGGATCAATTTTTGTCCCCACAAGCATCAGTATCAAATATTTATACTTCAAATCTACTACAAGAAAATCTTTATTTCATTATCAAATTTTTATACTTCAGATCTCCTACAATAAAGTCTTTATTTCCTTATCAAATATTTATACTTCAGATCTCCTATAATAAAGTCTTTATTTCATTATCAAATATTTATACTTCACATCTACTACAATAAAGTCTTTATTTCATTATCAAATATTTATACTACGGATCTTCTTCAATAAAGTCTTTATTTCATTATCAAATATTTATACTACAGATCTGCTACAATAAAGTGTTTATTTTATGATAAATTTCAAACGGACTTTTATACCTTAAAAAAAAAACATGGCTAAACAAATTTGACCAATATCATTTCTTGAAACATCAAGACTTCTTGTTTCGAAACATAAAAAAACAACAACCAATGTTTGCACTTTAAAAAGTTATATCTGAATAATAATTCTCTGTCAACTACACGTTTTAAAATACGTATTGCAAGAGCAACTACACATTTTAAAATACGTATTGCGAGAGCAACTACATATTTTAAAATACGTATTGCGAGAGCAACTACACATTTTAAAATACGTATTGCGAGAGCAACTACACATTTTAAGATACGTATTGCGAGAGCAACTACACATTTTAAAATACGTATTGCGAGAGCAACTACACATTTTAAAATACGTATTGCGAGAGCAACTACACATTTTAAAATACGTATTGCGAGAGCAACTACACATTTTAAGATACGTATTGCGAGAGCAACTACACATTTAAGATACGTATTGCAAGAGCCAGTGCAACTTATGGCAGATTGTCTAAGAATGTATGGACCAGGCGAGGTCTCAGTGAAACGTGTGGCAAAGTGTGTAAGAAAGTATGGACCAGGCGAGGTCTCAGTGTGACAAAGTGTGGCAGAAAGTATGGACCAGGCGAGGTCTCAGTGTGGCAAAGTGTGTCAGAAAGTATTCCCAAATTGTAGAAATTGAACGAATCTTTGAACACGGATTCTTCCACGGAAAGAATGAATTCAACCCTTAATAACTTAACGATTTTTCCACCATCAGGAACTTGCCTCGGGCGGCCATCTTTGGCATTCTGCTCGTGATAGTTGTGTACATACTGACCAACGTCTCGTACCTGGCTGTCATGACAAAGAGTGAGCTACTCAGCGCAGACGCCGTAGCGTTCGTGAGTTCTAAATTGTTTACAAAATCTTTTAAGGCGTACAACCTCGGGGTTGCTTTAAAAAATTTTTTACAGGTTGATTTTTTTTGTCTGAATTAAGGTTGCTACTATGAGGTTCAATCACAAAACAACTCTTCCGTGAGTCACAGCCATTTTTTTTTCTTCAAATCTTGCGCACCGCTTTACAAAAATGATTCGTGTAGCAAAATTTAGGATTCTTAAATGTGCGTCACTCGAGATCATATTTTATCAAGTAACTTTAGTGGATGGGAAGTTCACGTACTGCCGTCGCCACTGTTTGGCGGGCTGTATCTAGAATGTAATATTCTTTTATATCAGAGATTCTTAACATTTTTGCACCGCTGCACATCCATCCACTTCACCCAACATTTTTCTTGTTTTCAAAACCATATTTACCCGTCTTCTTGTCTTCTGTGCCTTCCCATCGACACCGCTTCCAAACTCACACGGGGTGCCGTTAGGAGCTCCTACCTCAAATCTTTTATGTTCTTTGGGTGTTGGTTTTAGGATTCCTTTACCGATAGTCTTAAAATACGCCATGAAAACATTCGCGTTACATTACAACATTCCCGTTATATTACAACATTCCCATTGCAATGCAACATGTCCGTTTTATTACAACATTCCCATTATATCATAACATTCCCGTTTTATTACAACATTCTTGTCATTTTTAAACCTTCATTTACATCAGAACATGTCCATTTTATTACAACATTCCCGTTATATTACAACATTCCCGTTATATTACAACATTCCATTACATTACAACATGTTCGTTTTTACAACATTGCCGTTACATTACAAGATTCAAATTATATTACAATATTCCAGTAATATTACAACATTCCTATTACATTACAACATGTCTTTTTTACTACAACATGTCTGTTATATTACAACATTCCTCTTATAATACAACATTCCCGTTTTCTTACAACATTCTCCTTACATTACAACATTCCTGTTTATTACAACATTCCCTTTATAAAACAATATTTCTATTATATTAAAACATTCAAGTTACACTAATTACAACATTACCGTTACACGATAGCTTTCCTTTAAAGTATAACTTTACTATGACATTATAATATTCCTATTTTATTATAAAATGCCTGTTACATTATAATATTTTCGTTACACATTTCCGGAGGAAAAATAATGTCGTCTTTTATTGTTATTATCGCTTTCGTTGCATTATTAAATCGTTAATTAAACAATGTTGGAGATTGAAGAAAATATAATAAGTGTGTTATAATCTATTTGCCTATATACATATATTATGAAAGTAATTTGTCAATGAACATTTGCCACGGGAAGTAAGTCTCTGCTGCATCAACAGGTGTTTGGTGAACGCGTGTTGGGTAGTTACGCCACTTTGATACCCTTAGCCGTTATGGTGTCAACATTTGGGTCAGCCAACAACAACATCCTCTCTGGTACCAGGTAAAGGCGTTGTTCTAAGAGTTATGCTGATGTAAGCGCTGTATGTGTAAGTGTAAGTTATGTTGATGTAAGCGCTGTATGTGTAAGTGTAAGTTATGCTGATGTAAGCGATGTATGTGTAAGTGTAAGTTATGTTGATGTAAGCGCTGTATGTGTAAGTGTAAGTTATGTTGATGTAAGCGATGTATGTGTAAGTGTAAGTTATGTTGTTGTAAGCGATGTATGTGTAAATGTAAGTAATGTTGATGAAGGCGATGTATGTGTAAGTGTAAGTTATGTTGATGTAAGCGATGTATGTGTAAGTGTAAGTTATGTTGACGTAGGCGATGTATGTGTAAGTGTAAGTTATGTTGATGTAAGCGATACTTTGGTTAGTTTAATTTCTGTCTGTTCGTGTAAGAGATTTCTAGCATTAATTCCTTTGTAACAATAAAACCCAGATTATTGCATTATATTTTTTTTTTATTTTCCTTCCTTAGAGTTACCTTCTCAGCAGCAAGGGACGGTAATTTGCCAGATTTTTTTTCTTATATACATGTTCATCACTTAACGCCCTTGGGAGCCATGACTGTCACGGTAAGTGTACTGAAAAATGTTGCATTGGGAGCCATGACTGTCACGGTAAGTGCTCTAGCAAACTTTGCCCTGGGAGCCATGACTGTCACGGTAAGTGTACTGACAAACTTTGCCCTGGGAGCCATGACTGTCACGGTAAGTGTACTGACAAACTTTGCCCTGGGAGCCATGACTGTCACGGTAAGTGTACTGACAAACTTTACCTTGGGAGCCATGACTCTCACGGTAATTGCACTGACAAACTTTGCCTTTAGAAACATGACTGTCACGGTAATTGCACTGACAAACTTTGCCTTTAGAAACATGACTGTCACGGTAAGTGCACTGACAAACTTTGCATTGGGAGCCATGACCATAATGATAAGTGTACTGACAAATTTGCCCTTGGGAGCCATGACTGTCACGGTAAGTGTACTGACAAACTTTGCATTGGGAGCCATGACCGTAATGATAAGTGCACTGACAAATTTGCCCTGGGAGCCATGACTGTCACGGTAAGTGTACTGACAAACTTTGCCTTGAGCGCCATGACTGTCACGGTAAGTGCACTGACAAACTTTGCCTTCAGAGCCATGACTCTCACGGTAATTGCACTGACAAACTTTGCCTTGAGAAACATGACTGTCACTATAAGTGCACTGACAAACTTTGCAAGCAGGTAATAAAACTCTTTAATTCGCAATTTCGGAGAATTTTATTTTAGGTTTCAATGCATTTTATCTTGTTGTCAAGGTCTAAAGGTAAAACTAGACAAAACCAGGGGAATGAATTATGTCAGACAAGTCTCCAAAATGTCTGTTCTGATTTCATTCTACTCATTGGGTCCCGGTTATATAAATAAATATTATATAATACTATATAATTATATATATATTCACCCAGACGGCAGTTGCCTTGATCTACATAGCGCCAGCAGAGGTTGGCCAACTCATCAGCTTTCTCGGGTTCGTTATGGCTTTCTTCAACGGCTGCATCTACTTCTCACTCATCCGTTTCAGACTGCAGACCATGAAAGATGTCAAGAGGATCATAAAGGTAATTCTGTTTTCTTTAAAGAATATCGTTCTTCATAATTTTATGGGTATTATTATTTATTTTTTTAAAAAGAAATGCAAGAGAAGCCATTTTTTTTTTAGTAACCAAGTTAGTACAAGAATCTGTCATCGATGCTTGCTCAAGAAGTGTCATATAAATGATCGTCCTGTGAAAAAAAAATCATTTATCATTGAAATTATCAGACACTTTTGGGTCCATGTGTTTACAAGCCCTAGAGATGGGATCAGGAAAAAGGTTATTTATTGAAGCAAGTACAATAAGTTTTCATTGGCCATTGCTCAAGATATGTTTTACGGAATGTTTAAGGGTGGTCTTATGATGTGTGATGGTGGTCTTATGATGTGTGAGGGTCGTCTTATGATGTGTGAGGGTGCTCTTATGATGTGTGATGGTGGTCTTATGATGTGTGAGGGTGGTCTTATGATGTGTGAGTGTGGTCTTATGATGTGTGAGGGTGGTCTTATGATGTGTGATGGTGGTCTTATGATGTGTGATGGTGGTCTTATGATGTGTGATGGTGGTCTTATGATGTGTGATGGTGGTCTTATGATGTGTGAGGGTGGTCTTATGATGTGTGAGGGTGGTCTTATGATGTGTGATGGTGGTCTTATGATGTGTGATGGTGGTCTTATGATGTGTGATGGTGGTCTTATGATGTGTGATGGTGGTCTTATGATGTGTGATGGTGGTCTTATGATGTGTGAGGGTGGTCTTATGATGTGTGAGGGTGGTCTTATGATGTGTGAGGGTGGTCTTATGATGTGTGAGGGTGGTCTTATGATGTGTGAGGGTGGTCTTATGATGTGTGATGGTGGTCTTATGATGTGTGAGGGTGGTCTTATGATGTGTGATGGTGGTCTTATGATGTGTGATGGTGGTCTTATGATGTGTGAGGGTGGTCTTATGATGTGTGAGGGTGGTCTTATGATGTGTGATGGTGGTCTTATGATGTGTGAGGGTGGTCTTATGATGTGTGAGGGTGGTCTTATGATGTGTGAGGGTGGTCTTATGATGTGTGATGGTGGTCTTATGATGGATGAGGGTGGTCTTATGATGTATGAGGGTGGTCTTATGATGTGTGAGGGTGGTCTTATGATGTATGAGGGTGGTCTTATGACGTATGTTACAATTATTACATATATTCTTGTGATAGACAGATGAAATAATTTAATAAAAAATAGTTTATTTAAGGATGAAATAGTCCTATCATAAAAAAATTCACACATATTTCTCCATGTGATATATTGGATTAAATAATCCTATCACGAACATCGTACCAGATTCCCCTTGTGATACCCATCCTGATGGTGTTACTGAACCTGTACCTGTTTATCGCCCCTTTGGTCATCAAGCCCAGGCTGGAGTACGTCTACGTGGCCACTGGTCTGTTTGGTGGAAGCCTCGTTCTCTATGTGCACTTTATTTACCGGAGATGGTCACTTCCGGGTTATGGTGAGCTCCTTGTACCCAAACTAGTCTGAGGCTAGGATAACAAATTGCGTCCACTCGTGTCGTAAGATCTTTTGTTTCTATAAAGCTGTTGTTAGAGAGCAATTTTGATAAAAGATGTTTAAAAAATTAAAATACAAATGAAGAGTTTCCATATAAAGCCATTGCTTTTAAAAGTTTTAGTATTCAGAGATTTGATAATATATAATGTAGCAAATATTCTTGAAGTAACTTGTTATGAAAAAATCGCATGACTAAAAATAATTTTGCCTCTATAAATTTCAGACAAATTTGTCACCTGGTTTCAGCTTGTGTTTCAAGTATGTCCGCCAGCTCAATTTATGGAATAAATCTTTTTTGTAAAACTAAACCTAAACATTTTATGCACGTGCGTGTCTATGCATGGGTCAGTAGGTCAGCCGTGTGATTCAGGTATGAATTACAATTAAGGATTCTATAATGATGTTACTCTCTCTTTGACTGATGACCTATATGTGTTGCATTTTTACATTTTTACACTAAGTCTTCTCTCGGAAACACACCACTGAGACTATGACTTTCAATACAGAAATAGACTTCAACGTTGCTCAAAATAACTGTTCATTTACTTTAGATGCTTGTTGTAATATCACAGCGAAAATGTATGTCAGTGTTTCTTAAAGTCATTGTTCTACGGGATACAGAGATGTTGACAACATAAACATGTAGATATCCAGAGATGTTCAAAGTTAAATTGTTATGGTGGTTCATACATCTGTAGTTGACATTTTTAGTTGTACGAGATCCAAACGATTTGAGAACCAGTGGTCTATTACCATGAAAAGAAACCACCCTGCCCAATGGAGGAAAAAAAAATGTGTTTTCGTCAAAGAAAAATATCATTGTGACAATTCAAACACAGTAATAAGTTCAAGGTCATTTTCATATCAGTTTTCATGCGTTTAAGATTATGTCAGCGTATGTAACTATACACATATAGCTGGGGGGGGGGGTTCGCTTTTGTATCGGTAACAAAAATCTTAAATGGATTAATATGCAATAAGAATGCAGTGATTTAAGATTTATTCTGAATCAGGATGAGCTGATTTTTATGACAACATCATCAGAAGACATCGATTCTTCCAAAGAAATGAGCTGCCATGGAGTTTGTTTAAATACTAGTCATATAGCAGTGGCTTAGAACGCACCATCATTTTATTGTGAGACCACTACCAGTTAATAAGCTGAAATTTCTCTCTATGATGATAGCGATCCACATTCACGGAATTTATTTTCAAACTTTTCTATTAGAAGAAACAATGTTCTACAATTTAATATTATAAAAGAATGAGCTAGGCTGACCATAACGCCAAAGAAACAATTTAATATTATAAAAGAATGAGCTAGGCTGACCATAACGCCAAAGAAACGAGGCGATTTAAATACGTTCGCAATCTTAAAAACGATGAAAGTATTTTCTTCTATTTTACGGAAATCGAAAACATTTAAATGCGCAAAAATTAAACTATATCCCCTTTTATTTAACAAATGTATAAGTATAATTATAATTAATTATAAAAAACATATATTTTACCCTTCTAAAAAGTAAAATAATAAATATTGTAGATTGTTTATTTTTTTTATTGTTAATAAAATACAACAAAATTAGCTTTGTGTGTTTTTTACATTTAATACTTTTTTTTGTTGTTTTTTTTTTGTTTACAAGTTGAGACTTCTATCAGGTTAAGCAATAAGAAAAAGAAACACGGTTTAGGAACTGAGCAGGTACAAAACAAGGAACGGCCGTGCACAAAGACTAGAAACAAAATAAACAACAAAATAAACAACAAAATAAACAAACAAACAATAGAAGTGAAACTAATATGTTACAAACACATAGCAATGGGGAAAGTCTCTGCGAATTCGTTTGACCTGTTCAATCAATAATTGCCTACGGAGACTATGAAGTCTCTAACACCTCGTGAGTACCCGTTACATCATTCCGTTCCAGATAAAGTGGTCGCGTGGCTACAGCTAAAATATTTAAAGCCTGCCCACCAGAGAAGTTGGAGTGGTCAAGATTATGAACGTTGTAACTTTTCAAGGCCAAACAAACATCGCAGCTACAGTTTCATTCATTTGTTGTTGGTTTTTTTTCATGCGCTGGCGTTACAAATCTGAATTAAACATGGATGAAATTAATGGCACAATTGGACCCCCTCTCCTTCCTCCCCCCACCGAAAAGTTAAACTATTTACATTTTAAAAAATCCTTTATTAACTTCACCTTTGAATCATGTGTTTCTTTGCTTCCGTCTGGCGAAATTTTCGGAAGGCTATTTGAGTCACTTCCCATCATCCTTTCGTGCTGAAACTTGGCCCATAGACTCGTGGCCAATGAAAACAAGCTCTATTAAATTTTAGACCCTGCTCAAACTCCCCAAAAATCAGTTTTTCCCGTTTTTCAAAAAAAAAAATAAAAAAAAAATAAATATATATTTTTTTTTAAAAGGGTGGTTTGGCCGGGGGGGGGGGGGTGTGGAATGTTCATGGTTTGTTCAACAGTTGCGGGTTTTGGTGTGGAGTTTAATTGTGTCGTGTTCTCTATGGGCCTTTTTACTTGTGACGTATTTCGGTTTAAATATTATATCATTAGTTTATTAAGGTTTCCATGCGGTAAGTTTTTTATAAAAACCAATACTAAAACCAGTTGTACCATCACGTAAAGCATAAATCACGTACAACAACGTAAAGGATAAATCACGTACAATAACGTAAATGCAAACACAAATTCGCATAAGGCAAAAAAAAAAAATGGACTGAAAGGATTTTAACGCAAAACGTTGTTTTTTTAACGGTTCTTTAATTCAATCCTTTCATATTAACGTCGCTTTTGTTCGCGCGTTTGTTTGTTTCTGTGTGGACAAGCTTCGGAAGGCTAATCGACCCCCTTTCCCGTCACCACATCGAACTGAAACTTGGCACATAGATTCGTTATCGACACATTTTCACACCCCCCCCCCTTTTTTTTCCTCCCCCCCCAAAAAATAAATAAATAAATAAAAATTTAACAAGTAAAAAAGTTTTTCCTGTTTTTCAAAGGGTGTTGAATGATAATGATTTGTTCAATGGGTGCTTTATTTGGTGTGGAGATTAACTGTGTAGCTGTTGCAATGCGCTTTTTTTATTTTCTTTTATTTGTGACGTATTTGGGCATGCGGTAAAGATAAAATGTATTTTTTGAAAAGGGGGGGGGGGCAATGGAGGAAATATGAAACGTGTTTTCGCCAGAAATTTACCCTTTTACAAAACCGTTTCTTAACAAATAAAATATCACGTTACAATAATATCAATGCAAACAAAAATGCATACGCAGATTTATATGAAGAAATGTGTTTTAAAGAGCTGTTTAGTTTTCATAGTTATTATCATTATTATAATAAGTTGTTGTATTCAAAGCAGAATTCAGAGTCGAGCAGTTGTGGTGGAACCAGGGATTGAAAACACTATTGATATATTTATCTATGTAAAAGCCTTGCCTCTAAGTAACTAATGATCAATAAATAAACAAAAGACAAAACCTCATCATATTACGTCCCATAAAAATAAAAAAAATAACAATTCGGAGATGACTGCATACTATATTGGCGGAGACATCCCTGGTAGTAATTAGACGTAGCGATCTCCGTGGATATTGGAACTGGTTCATTTGCGTGTTCACGACTAGGCACGTCCATGTCTAATGATGCCCTTAAGAAAGAAATGGTTTAAAGAGGACCACAGTTCACTGGGAACGTGTAACGACACTCCTGGTAACTGATCTTTCTTGGTGTGGCTTCAATGCTTATGGAACCGAATTGCCCGGCAATGACAGAGTCGTTTACATAGTTAACCTGGCAGTAACAATAGCCTGTCACAGAGTTAAACTGGCAGTAGCATAGACTGTCGGTGCGTTAACCTGGCAGTAACAGAACCCGTCACAGAGTTAACCTGCCAGTAACAGAACCCGTCACAGAGTTAACCTGGCAGTAACAGAACCCGTCACAGAGTTAAACTGGCAGCAACAGATCATGTCACAGGGTTAACCTGGCAGTAACAGAACCCGTCACAGAGTTAAACTGGCAGTAACAGAACCCGTCACAGAGTTAACCTGGCAGTAACAGAACCCGTCACAGAGTTAACCTGGCAGTAACAGAACCCGTCACAGAGTTAACCTGGCAGTAACAGAACCCGTCACAGAGTTAACCTGGCAGTAACAGAACCCGTCACAGAGTTAACCTGGCAGTAACAGAACCCGCCACAGAGTTAACCTGGCAGTAACAGAACCCGTCACAGAGTTAACCTGGCAGTAACAGAACCCGTCACAGAGTTAACCTGGCAGTAACAGAACCCGTCACAGGGTTAACCTGGCAGTAACAGAACCCGTCACAGAGTTAACCTGGCAGTAACAAAGCCTGTTGCAAAGTTAACTTTGCAGTAACAAAGCCGGTCAAAGAGGTTTTTTTTCTTTACATTAACTGTACCATCTGATTTGTGAGTAGCCGTTCATCAGGTATCATGCAAAGATGAGCATCAAATTTGCGTTAAAAATAATTATTTTTCTAATTTACTATAGTACTTTGCTACATAGCCATTCTGCGGGGGGTTGGGGGGGTAGACACAAATACTAACAACCGATTTTGTGAGTTGGCATTTCACCACTATGTACTAAGGACTGTACTTGTCCTACATACATTCACTTAGCACACCTTATTAGTACAGGGGCAATGCTACTCGCCATAGCCAAATCTTAACATACTCTTGAGATCACGACCGCAACCATGATACAGAGTCAATGTCATTAATTAATTACCATAACACATAAAGAAGTAGCAAGGGTGCGACCTTCCTGATTAAGAGCTTGCTGTCTGTGACAACTGGTCATTTGTATTTAATTGGAACTCCCGTACATTGGTTTAAAGAGACTACTGTAATCGGGAGAAGAAAACACGTGGACAAAGTCAGACAATAGGAATGCCATTTATTTGACTAGTGATGAGGCTGAATAGAAGTCTATGCCCGGTTCTAATTGTTCACTTCCAGTCGAATACCGGAGAAGGGACGCCTCGAATGCCACCTCTTAGACGACGCCTAAAAATGTTGATTTTTGACTGGAATGCTTGCGCCAGGGCGCATTTGTCAAGATGGGCGGAGGGGTGCACTTAATAGTGCAAAAAAAACAACAAAAAAAACTTAAAAATAATTCTACGCTAATTCCCATAAACCCACGTAGAAACTTATGCGGAACTAAACAAAAAATACAATAAAAAAATAACCAAAACACATTTTGAAATGTCCACCTAGTTGAATCACGAGTGTCTTCTTCCCCACATGTAGCAGACCTCAGCTACTGGAAAAGCTGATTGCCGTGACAACCTTAAGTAAGTCAGATGTGTACTACAGGAGAAGAATGTGTCATTGCTTTTTTTTTTAAATGATTAAAGTCTTTTCAAAAGTATACACATGCGTTTTTTTTAATGATGTATTAGCAGGAAGGAAATGATAGAATGAAATCTTAAAATGAAGTGCTAACATGAAGTGTTATAATGACAAATTAAAATGAATGTTAGAATTAAATCTTTAAAAGAATCGTTAAAATGAAATGTTAAAATGAAGTGTCAGAATGAAGTGTAAAAATACAATATTAAAAAAAAAGTGTTAAAATGAAATGTTAGAAATAAGCGTTTGAGTAAAATCTTAAAATGAAGTGTTAAAATGACGTGTTAGAAGTAAATCTTAAAATGAAGCGTTAAAATAAAATGTTAAAAGGAAGTGTTAGGATGAAATATTAAAACGAAGTGTTAGGATGAAGTGTAGATTTTAAATATTAAAATGGTGTGTTCAAATTAAGGATTAAATTGAATTATTAATGTTTAAATTATTGGTTAAAATGAAGTGTAAAAATGAAGTGTCGCAGTAAAGCTACATCAGTACTTAAAATCTTGTATTGCCGCTTTAAAATGTCTTCTAACTGTATTGTTTTGTAAAGCTATAATGGGGCATCGTGACCTTTTCCCCCAGTGAGCCTCGTTATCATCAACACGTACAGTTCACGCCTGGCGTCACGAGTCACACCCATAGGAAAGACGTCTGCACGTTTCGTCATCATCATCGGCGGCATCGTCTCTCTTTGTCAAGGTGGGAAACTCGATCATATCATGAGGAATAACGCTATCATTTCCTGTAGAGACTTCTGGCTAACAAAATCTTTTTAAGATACCATCGTGCTTTCTTATCTTGAACGCTTTGAGGCTCCGAGTACACAAGCACAGCAATCATACGGACGCCACAAATATTTTAGTGGTCCATTTAGAAACATATATAGAAATATAGAAACCATATTTGCTTGTTTGCTTTCTTTCTGAAGCCGGAAGTTCCTCGATACTTCCGGGGCTCAACGGGATGATCCTTCCGCGATTTTGAGGCTGTGTTTACATTTACTCCCGTATTTCACTGACCTCCAAGACCGACATACTTTGGGGAGAGAGAGACATTTGTCTGACCTTATGGTTAAACTGCAACCTCTCGCATCAGAATCTTTACTGTTGATCATTAACAACGGCCTTGGCCTTTAATGACTAGTGCAATGTTAAAATTAATCACATTTATTGTTGCAAAGTAAATAAAAT